CACGTAAACTTTACAGCAAAAACACTGTGAAGGTTTTAAAAAGTCACCTTCACAACATTTTTGCTGTGAAGTTTCAAGTGTAAAATACTGGTCTCACGGGTCTCACGAAAACAGGCTGGTCTCACATGATCCCAAGTCTATATATATATATATATATATGTGTGTATATAGCAATATTGCAGCCGCCGGGCCCATTTTATTGACGTCTTTTACACAATTGACTTGTATGATGACTTTCATACCTTTTTTTTATTTAGCCATTTTGTAATCATGATTTGATTTTGTAATAGCATTTGATGATTTGTAGCAATATTGGAGCCACCGCTACCCAAATCAATCAAGAAAATAATGAATTTTTTATTAAAATGATAATTCATTGCTATTTTTGTCCCGAAAGATAACTTTTTTCTTTAAGTATACGAGACTAAAATGACAATAAACTGTAGACCACAGGACAATCAACAATAAATTTTATATGAAACAAACAAAAACAGTGAAGTGTGAACAATAAGAATAAATTATAGGCACATAAATAACAATTTTCAACGAACCACATGGATAAAAACGTTGACTAAGAACTACTTTACTAGTCTTTCAAAGTAGAGAAAGTGACAATTTGAATTTGATTACTTAAAAGAACACTTGAACAAGAGGTTCCTGGAAAGCTCCAAGCTTCATTCACACGTGGCATAGACTGGTCCATGGTTCATTCATACATGACATTGATCGGTCCTCCAACTGAACCGTAAACAGATAAAATATGGAAACGACAATTCTAATATAATAACACTAGGAAATGATGATAAAAATAAACGTCCTCAAAAATAATGCACTTGCAGAAATTTTGAAGAACTTACATTTTTTGTTATCTATAAAACCTATTGTTGGAAGAGGAGCAGTTGGGCATGAACTCGCAAAACTTGTACCAAATACCATATACAAATTCAAAAAATGATACCCTCCATGCCTTGCTACCCATCAATGGAGCCACTACAACCCAAAACCCCACCACGAATCCAACCACTATGCTTATAATAAGTCCCCAATCTGGTCCACCACTTCCACCTGCTTCACCGGTGTCACCCGCCCTTCCACCTCGCCTTTCGCACATTACGGTAAGCGGAGCTCCACACAGCTTGTTGCCAACAAAGCTCCACTCTGGAAGGCTCTGAAGCTGAGTGCTCGATGGAATCCTTCCTGTCAAATCGTTGTACGACAAATTCAACAAATTCAAATAACTCAAGCTTGACATGCTCAATGGAACCATCCCGTCAAGTTGATTCATTGACAAATCAAGAGATTCTATTAACTTCATGTCACCGATCTTCTCAGGGATCCTCCCTGTTAACCTATTACCGGAAATATTCAAATATCTCAACTCCACCAGCCTCGTAATCTCACTTGGAATAACCCCGGATAAATTGTTCCCTGCAAGGTCCAAAAATGTCACTAGACCAAGAATGCTGCTATATGCATTCACCCTCCCCGTCATCGCCAACCAAGCACTGCCCCTAAATTCAATTCCGTCTAGCTTGATGCTTTGATCTGGGTTCATTTTTCCTGCCATGAGACTAAAATTGTGGAAACAGTTTGGTACTTCCCCTGAAAGATTGTTATTAGCAAGGATCAGAATCTGGATAGACACAAATCTGCAGATTTCACTTGGGATCTTGCCATTCAATTTGTTTGAATGAAGGCTGAGAACCCTCAATCTGGTAGCTTCTCCACCTATCGGTATTGGTATGCCTCCAATGAATTCGTTTTCAGAAAGGTCAATAATCAGTAACCTCTGTGAATTCATTAGATTCATAGGTAATTCTCCAGACAGCTTGTTATTGCGCATGTTTAATGATTCTAACATGGATAAATTTGCCAAAGATCTTGGAATTTCACCAGTGAGATTATTGTTCTGGAAGTTCAAGATATTCAAGAATCCCCAGGTTGCCCAGCAATCAGGAAGAACACCTGAAAGACTAGTATTACCCAGATTCACATATTTAACCTGTTTCTGTTCTGCATCTGCTTTAGAACAAAAGTATTCGCTCAGAGACACTGACGAGAAATCATTATCAGAGAGATTCAGATACTGCAAATCCAAAAACGTAGTCCAAAACCAACTTGGAATGTTATCTGAAATCCCTGTGCTGGCTAGATACAAGATGAACAGATTTGTTTGGTTTTGAAGCCAAGAAGGGAACTTTGGACCTAAACTCCAAGAATTCAAGCTCAACCTTTGGAGTTGGAAAGGTGGTTCCCAGTTATCAGCCAATATCTCGAGTCTTAACATGTTTCCATCTGCTCGTAAAGTGGCTAAACTGGTGAGCTTAGCAAAATGATCTTCAGTCACAACACCTGTTAACAAATTGTTCCCAATGTTTAGGGTCATCAGCTTCGTAAGTTGGCCAACACTTTGGGGAAGAGTTCCATTGATTTCATTATCCGAAATATCTAACAGCTCCAAAGACAATAATCTTCCTAAAGAATCTGGGAGTGGGCCGGATATAAAATTGTCAGGAAGATACATTGATAGCAACGATGACAATCTTCCTATCGAGTCAGGAAGCGGGCCTGATAATGAATTAGACCCAATTTCTAGAGTTTGCAAGGATAATAAATTTCCTAGGGAATCGGAGATCGACCCAGAAATTGAATTGTTGTTAAGATCAATAAGAACCAAGTTTGTCATATTTCCGAGTTGTGGTGGTAAATAACCAGAAAGCCCACTTGATGCGAACTTTAAAGACTCGAGTTTAGATGACTCGCAATTAAACAAACTTGTAAGGACCTCCGATAGACTTTTACCGTGAAATTTGTTCCAAGAAAGATTGATTTCCCTCAAGTTACAGATGTTTCCAGGAACCGAACTAAGAATAGTTTGAACACCCGTGAGTTGATTATTTGACAAATCAAGGGTAATAAGGGAAGCCATGTTCATAAGAGCACCAGGAATTGGACCATTGAAATTGCAGTTAGCAAGGTTTAAGGAAACTAGACTCTGTAAACTAGATATCCAACTAGGTATCGAGTTTGTACTAAAATTGTTATCTGAAAGATCAAGAACTGAAAGCGAGCTAAGATTGACCATGGTTAAACTAGGTGTGAAAGGAGGAAGTCCGCAAGACGAGAAATGCAGTTCTACAAGAGAAGAAGGGAGAAGGGTTCGAATCACCTGTCGCCAATCGAACACTTTGCCAATTTGAACCCCACTCATGTCAAGGTGGCGCAAAGAAGAAAGACCCGATAACCACTGCAAACTCTTCACTGTTTGCTCATCCTGATCACCACTATAAACATTCCTGACACTGAGTACGCGTAGTGCAGAGAGATTCTCGAGTTGACTCGGTATCTCTCCGGAAAATCTTGACTCAGAAAGATTCAGATAAGTCAAGTTTTGGAGGGACCCAATGAAGGTAGGAATCAGGTTCCCTTCGAAATCATTGCAACTCAAATCTAAGTAGTCGAGTGAAGTCAAATTACGTAAAGAAGGGTTGAGTTTCCCKCCAAACCTCTGTATCGATGCTTCTTGGTCTTCAAAGCTATCCATATCATCAGGCCCACGAAGGCGGATCTCGGTAACATGACCAGTTTGATTGTTGCAGGTGATTCCGTACCATTTGCAGCAATCTTCATTGCTACTGTTCCAGGAAAAGAGCCGGTTCCCACCATCCTTGAGGTCGTTCTTGAACTCCAAAAGAGCAGTTTTCTCGTATCCGATGCATGAAACATTACCGGAGTTTTCATCAGATAAAGAACCATGAAATAATATAAAGATTGCAAGTACCCAAAGGTATGAGAAAGACGAAATGCGGGAACTCATTGTTTGATAATCAAGAATCTGTAATCTGAAAAAAGATGGGGTTCTTGTTCTAAGGATTGGATGCTGGAACACCAGCTTTGACTATTGTAAAATTGTCAACTCAATTTTCAATAGTCAACAACGGAAGAACCAAGTTGATATCCTTTCACTTTCACATGTTGAAGGGGGAGTGATAGGGGAGTGCTAATGGCACCCCTTTAATAGGGGTGTGAGTTTTTTTGGGAAATTGTGCCGATCAATTTTTTTTATAAACATTACTTCAATCATTATTTTATTAATTTAATTTTATTTTATATATTTATATTAAAAAAATATATATT